ACTTTCGGCTTGTTGAATGTCCTCCATCGCTGTGCTGCTACGGCAGTGAGCACCATATTTTCAAAGGTACCCTTGAGTGCAGCAGACCCAAGGTTATATAGCATATGATCCGCAAAGGCATGGGTATGGAGTGATGCCCCTCCGGACATCTACAAGTCCTTACCTAGCCAATGAGCCCCGCGAGAGGCCGTCTGAAGTTACCCGAGAAGGGCATATTTGGCACGGACAAACAGCGCGCGCAGAAACGTGATGTTCAGTTTCTTATGCAAACGACTGTAGGCAATTCAGCCACCTGGAGTTGGTGGCTCCATTGGGCCTCAAAAGTACTAAGTTCCGGCATACATTCCGGCGTAGGCGGTCACTGGGGAGCCTCAAAAGTGCTAAGTCCGACAATGAAATGGCCAATTTTGGGGCCTCAAAAGTGCAAAAATCGGACATACATACATAGGAGATTCCCGGGTCCTGCACCTGGCGCAGCGTCTCCTGACGTCTTACCTCAACTGACTCGCTGAGATACATCCAACTTAGTAGACTGGGTACGGATTCTCTTAGACTAAGGCAGTAATGGTACTAAGGCACCGCTAAAGTTCCCAAGCGACCTTATTTTCCTTAGTTAAGTCAGAAAGCGGCAAAGCGCGCCTGCCTTTTTGCTGATGTAGTCAGCCGCCGTGAGCTCTGCAGGCGTTGCCCGTCCCCAGCGTGAGTCCACGGATGTATACAAACATACAGGCTCCCGCAGGTCCCGGTGCTGTACCTGGTTCAGCGGTCTCAATCATCAGCGATCCCTCTGCCTTCCAGACTGTGCCCTGCCACATAGAAACCTGGCTGATCTGCTCCTCGGGGCCCGCTGGTTGTCATCTCAGGCTTACTCCACCCCCGAGCTCACCTGCGTTCTGATTATGCTCTTTCACGGAAGACGAAAGGCTGTGAAGATGAAGTATCGGGTAGAGCGGGGCGCGTCGTCAGAACCACGGAAAACGAACCTCGCAGGAGGAAATCTGTAGGCGCATATACCTCATGTTGATATTGGGAGAGATGACAGGAAGAATCACTTCCTCTCGTGGCCTATACCAGCACGGCTCGAGCTCCGCCTCTGATGGTCTTTGCCACTACCGCTCTATCTCAACGTTAACGTTCTAGGATTGCCTCATGGCTGATTATCTGCCCAATCTCTGGAAGTTGGACGTCCAATGGAGACTGTCCTACTTCCAGAGGGGGTGAGGTGCTATTCTGTCTAACTCTGGCAGCAACTCAGTTAGCTTTCTTCATGGATGTCCGAGACCAGATGCCTTGTCTCTGACGTCCGTAAAGGTAGTGCAAGTCAGGCTGAACGGGATACGGTCCAGGTGGATAATACTCACCAATGTCCCTCTCCCCGTATCATGCGCTCCGATTGCGAGAGGCGCCTCGCATGCCCAATATTGCTGAAGCGACCGGGACCAATAATAGTCTCACACCCACCCGAGGACAATCATTTTAAATGACAGTGAGCGAAATTTCAGTCTTCCTCGGGAGTCTGACGGCGCCCAGGGTATGCCTGGGGTTACGCTATCCCCAGTGGAGATGATAACAAACGTTCTCAAAATAACGACGGTACGTTGCATAGAATAATTCTAAATGACAGCAAGTGAAATCTCGTTCTTCCTAGGGAGTCTGACGGCGTTCAGGGTATGCTTGGGGTTACGCATCTCCAGTGGAGGTGATAATCAGTGCTCCCCAAAACAACCACGGTGAAGCAAGGATTCAGCAGAGGAGTGACAAATCTTACATGGTCATCGCCTCCTTTCGTTACCCGCGTTCTTCAGGTGCGTACAAGGCTTGACAAGCCCCGTTTTCTGTGGCGCGGAATACAGCAGGCGACACGATCACGATGTCTCTGCTCTGCTGGCCTCAAGTTCAACAGTCTCGGTCAGCTGCCGCTAACTCGGAGCGCGTGACAGCGTACGTTCCATGCTATTGAGTGTTTATTGGCGTTCCTCTTACTGCCTATAGACGAGGGACATGTACGTGACAACTTTCGTGTCATCGACTGCTCATCTGGCCAATGGATGTGGTATCTGGGGAAGATCCTGATGAGAACCCAACTGTTAATATGAAGCAATGGGACCCTACTGTCTCGATCACGGAAGGCCCTGGAGCCGAGCAACAGCTGCGGAGCACGCTCACGCTTGTGTGTAACAAATATCGGCACCGGTGGCTGCTTTGTGTTGATGCTCATCGACAGCACTGGGAGCAGACCTCCGGCTGCCTGTAGCGCAATTTACGGATGGTGGTGCCATTTTGGAACTATTTCATAGCAAGTAAATACTGGTAACACATGATCTCATCGACTGGAGATATAAAGTGTAGCGCTCAGCAGAACCTCAACTGCAACCTGAGATTCGTGACCAGTCTACGTTATGCGGATGCTATGGCAGTACGCAAAAGGAAGCCAGAGGAAGGTAGAGCGGGAATGGAAAGTGCGTGTGCGCTGACACCTACTCGATACAGGTAATTCGAATTCGGAGGTAGCATTGGCATTGACAGCAACTTGATTCAGGTCGTAACTTGATTCCTCCATATTTAAGATAAGTCAATATCAATGGGTTATCTCTTCTGCTGAAGAGTACGTATAATTCGAACTCGCCGGCAGGGAGGTGCGGATCTGGCCGCATGCTCCGTCGCAAGAATGAGTTCCAATTCACCTCAGTAATAGTAGAAAGCATGAAGAATGTGGCAGACCATACCAGCCATCTGCTGTATGCAGCGCCTTACAGTACGGAACATTAGCTGTCGATTCAAATTAGCCGGGGATGACTGACTGCTATACTACGGTGCAGGCACCACTGGCACGTCAGGCTCCGAAGTCTCGTCGACTCAAAGAACGTGCGATCTAAACTCGCCAATAGGAAACCTTTGTGGCATCTTCAGCATAATCATTTCTAGTATTGACGCTTCCATATCTATCAAGAGATTTTAAATTGGTGTGTTGTTATCACTGCAGTCCACAACGGTCCGAGCGGGTGCAAGCCGTTAGATACACCAGGATGCAGGGATTTAAGGGGCCTGTGCACCACGCCTTTCCGAACGGGACCGACTTCCGATACTAAGATTTTTGTGAGTATAAAGTGCAAGGCCTGTGTTCAATTCAAGGGCATCCATCCAGATGCAAGTTCTGCAACGCACCCGCAGTTTTATTGCGCAAGAATGTGCCATTTTCTTCAGGGTTTCCTGGAGGGATTGGTCAACCACTCTCATCCCCGGATCCCTTCTCGCCATCGCTGCCATGCGAAGCACCACCATGTCACTCCAGTCCATCATAATCCATTCCGCCTGCGTCGTCGTGTGGGTCACCTTCTTCGTGTATTTTGCCGACCTCTCCAACCAGATAACTGGCGTCGATGAAGACCGCATCAATAAACCGGACAGGCCGATACCGTCTAAGCTAGTCACACTGAAGGGCGCGATTGGGCGATGGGCAGTGGTCCTCTCTAGCTTCATCATCATCGGGATATTCTATCCAGCGATATTGCCGGAAACGCTTTGCTTGGTCGCTGTGGTGGCCTTCCTGAATTTGACGCCGGCAGGCAACCATTGGTTTGGGAAGAATTGCATCGCACTAACACCGGGGATGTGGGCGCTCCTCAGCGGCTGCTGGAAGATTAACTCCCCTCTCGACTTGACCAATCGCTCGTACATTCTCACAGTTGCGGTATGGACCGGCATCCTCATGCCGATCCAGGATTTTCGAGACATGAAGGGAGATGCGAGGGTTGGGCGGAGGACAATGCAGCTTGTTTACGGGGACATCACAAGCAGAAGGATATACGCATGTGGCTTCGTTCCAGCCGCATACGCGGTACTGCGCGTTGGGCGACTGGCGGACATTGCGCCTATTCCCCTGGCGCTGACCCATGTATACTTGGCCTACCGGACCATGAATCATGACGGCCCTCGCTATGATCACAAGACATACATGGTCAGTATATGGTATATCTTGGAGTCCTCTGTACTGACCAGAGCCATTTAGCACTTCACATATCTGTTCTGCGCGGTCGTCGCGTCCATCATAGTGAAACAGAAGTGACCTATCCATGGCTCGCGCCTCCCGTGATAAGTTACCGACTATGATCCTCAGGCTCGGACAAACTCGTCTACTCCATACTTTGTTGTAGAGAAATATGTGTGAGCATGGATTGGAATTTAGATTTGTTCTGTTCTGTTCCATCGTTATCTTCGGCTTCACGGCAGGATGCTACTCACTTGCACTGTGAACCCCAGCGACGGGTATTTTCACCATGTAACCGGGTGAAATTCGTGAATCACCCAGAAAGTGGGTGACAAGTGGGTACTGGTGATTGCATGGTTGAAATTCACCTTTTCCATTTCACCCAGAAGCTGGGTGAATTTACCCGGGCGTGAAATGCATGCTTACCGGTACCCAAGATATGGGTGAAAATCACCACATGAAATAATCGCCATCCTAATTGTCTCATAAATCACATTCAGTTCATTTCTTTGACATGTAATACACTGAACTCTGTGAATACTGTGTATAACTATACAGAATTTGAAGTGAGATGGTCATCGACAGTACAAGTACTGGTGGTCTCTGACGCCGCTAAGTCGTGATTTGCGTAGTGCTGGTACCGTGAGAATCTCCGAACGGTCAGCGCCACTTATGACGCGTACGTCGCATAGTCCAACTTGAACTGCGACCACCACCTCCTCACCCACAGACTCCTCCAGCCGTGCTCTCTTTTGTGTTTTAGGTCTGGAGGGCTCACTGTTGTACATCTATTCAGAGCACGACGGACGACGACAACCTGACGTGTGCACTAGGTACCCTTTGATGCGCTCAATTTGATCTAGGGAACAGAGTTCGGGGCTTGCGGATGCCGACACCTAAAGGTATGATACACTTCATCGTGTTCCAGAGGCAGTCTGCGACTGATCATGCATAAGGTTGGGCGCGGGTGACACCGCGGCTCTGCCACGCTCACCCCGACCCATACCCGCCTGTACCGCACCCGTAGCGGGTAAGGGTACAAAACCCGCCCGAGAGGCCGCGGGTCGCTGGGTGCCCTTGGCCGATGCCCGAGGTAGGGCTTTGCAGGTTCAAGGCACCCTATTGAAGGTGCTGTTGAGCCAGTTTCTTTGTACACCTGGATCTGACAGTGCCGTACCTGACTCCAGTATCACCGGGAGCCAACTTCCCATGTTTTTGCTGCATTTACGCCTCAAGAATCACAAATTTCGTATAAATATTGCACCCTCCACCAGACCCGCGGGACCCGAAACCCGTTGGGACGGTTTCACGGTAGCGCGCGGTTCAAGAGATTTCAGACCCAAGCCCGCACCCGAGCGACCCGCGGGCCCAATACCGCGGTGGTACCCGCCACCCGCGCCCATCCTTAATCATGCACTACAGGATAATAGGCGAACACAAGTGATGCGAGGAATCTGCGCCGATCAATAGTGTGGACCACCCGTTGGTATGTCCCCTTTGTACTCAATAACCTGTTCTGGGTGTCGAAGCAGGTACGAAACCCATGGTTACACATTCTTTGGCATAGCTGAATGTCATCCTAGGTGGTGTGAAGGGCAGCAGTTTTGAGGCAGATGGTGCATAGGTAGCTAGGTGAGTTCGACATTACCCGTCCATGGCCCGATAACCCTCATATACAAAGCATTTGAGGTGCAGTCCTCTTGACGAGGCTACTGGCGACAACGACGTGGTTGGTGCCTGCCCAGGGCTGTCCATACCTGCCTGGCAGGCTACCCTCCCATGGAGGACAGCAACAGTAGCTACAATGTGCCCCAGTTGGCTGGCTGCGGTGCCGCATCCATTGAGGTGAGTCCAATGCTCAGTGAATAGCTGGTGCAAGGTAGTAGAAGTATGCGGTGTAAATCCCTGTAATACATTGTAGTATTGCAATACTATTGATTTGCAAGAAATATGATGATTATATAATGCAATGACAATGGGTCGAAATCACCAGGAATTATGGTGAAATAGATTCAATAAGGATTCACCAGGATTCTGGGTGAATTTCACCCGTACAACTACACAAGACTGACATGGTGAAACCGGCCATATAAAGGTGGATTTTCACCCATTGCGATCTACCCGCATACTTGGTGAAAAGTACTGCCCGCCAGTGAAAATCACCGTTTGACCTAGTTAAAATGACTAACTTTCTGGGTTACGAACATGGTGAATTTACCCCTCTCTGGGGCCCACAGTGTTGGCCCCAGTGAGCCACTGCACTAAAAGTGTGAAGAGCGCGGCATCGTCGCTTACGACTTCGATTCTTCATGAAGAGGTTCGGTCCGTTCCATCCCCCTCAGCAGCCGCTGAGACCTGGTAGGTGAGCAACTCTGACATACGTCCTGACGGTACCGCGAGGGTATACTAGTACCTTCGCATTGCTGTGCCGACAGTTCTCCACGTACTTTTTCCGCGGAGTTATCACATCCATTGCATTCAGCGGCACCTGCAGCCTCATTTGCGGCTGACGACCCGCGTATTTCTCATGTCATCGTCGCTGAGTTCGATTCTTGATCTTCGATTCGCAAGCTATCCTCGTACGTAGTCTCAGGACCCCTGATAATAGGTATCAAGGCTTTATTTTAAATCCTGAGAATCCGACCTTTTTGTCCGCACCAAATTTCCGGATTTGGTGCCGTTTTGTCCGCGAAAAATGTGGCCTGAGCGGATTTTGGCCGAAAATGTCCGCGATTCTGATCAGGGCTCTGCTTACAAGACCTTTGTCCGCACTGTAGGATAAGGCATTAAAATGTATCAATTTTGCTCTTCTAGTAATGTATATCTATAGCACCACTCTATTCACCGTCAGAAATCATGTCCACACCGCTCGCCGCCTTGCGTTTGCGGCGGAATTTTGCCAGTTCTTCCACTGCGGGAGCCAACTCCGCCATCTCCGATTCGAGATGGAACTCGTTAAATAGAAACAGTCATGTTTCTAGTATGTGAACTACAATAACTTAATAAATGCTGGATAGACATAGTCTACTATGAGATGGGATAGGGACCCACAATGGCCACATCC